ATGTCTTGGGTTGTCTTTGCAAAACCCTGAAGAAATGAATTTGACTATCCTGTGGTGCCATTTACAATAAATTTGCAGATGTGAGACATGACACCTCACATTGTAAAACTGTAAAAGGCTTATTGAACCACAGCAAGGGACTGAATAAGGAAAAAAGGGACAGCACTGGTGCTTAGCTGCAGCCAGAGGCACATTGCCCACACCTGTGACAACCCCAGTACATGCTTTTGGTAAATCAGCCCCAATATGTGCTGTTGGTAAGCCATCCCAAATACATGGTATTGGTAAGCCAACCCCCTGGGAAGCTGACCCATCCCACACTTGTGCAGATGTCACTCTTCAGACCCAGCTCCTCCTTCGTTCCCCCTCTCAGAGTCTGTACAGTCCTTTGTGCTCAAACTCTTCTGATGGTTGGAGATCAACTTTCAACATTACAAAACTTACATATAAAAGAACCAGATCTGAACAGATCTTCTTACATTCAACATTTGCGAGAGCCAATACTACACTATCCATTTATTACACAGAGAACAAAAATGTTTTTTATTGGGCTGTGGTGGTAAACTTGCTTTGTTGAATTCAGACAGTTTCCCTTGAAACAGTTTTTACTTGCTGGTTTATATCTAGTTTGTAACTCTCAGAGCAGAAAAGAAGCCATTTTTCTGTAATGAAAAGCAGTGTTAAACCACCTCTGCTTTAACACCCTCTCTGAGGGTGAGAACCCTGCTGCCAAGGGCCGTTCCATCCTGGGACAAGTAATTTCCAGGCTTAGAAATTCAATTGCAGAAGTGCTCCCTTTGAAACATTTGTTCACTTAAGAAATTTGAATTCCTGCCCTAGTTTGAGAGTTGTGAGTGCTTTCCTTGGATTTTTTAGACTTTGGGAATGTTTTTAATGTACTGCTTTGGGTTTTTTGTGACATTGTCAGTGTGATTTTTTGGAAGAGAAAAACTACATTGGCAATAACAGGTGCTACTGCAGCAGTTGTGTTACACTTTCTGTTTCAGTTAGCACAGTAAGAGTCCCAAAACCTTGGAGTTCAGGGAAAAGAGGAGCTTCAGCCAAAACTCAGAGCCCGCTCTGAATACATTTTTTGGGGGGTTGCCTCTCCAAAACCGAAGCATGCTGATTAATTTGGCTAAATTCACAGCACATAATACTCAAGGCATTTTATTTATTTTTGTGTTTGCTTATGGGTGTCAGCTTGAGAGCTAAGCCAAATCTGCTTGTTGTGTTCCAGTTTAGTGCCTGTGTGTTCCTGAAAGTGGTTTGGTTTTGAGAGGTTTGAGACTGGTATACAATTCCCATGGGTGTGCTTGGAAATACTTACTAGGTATGGAATTGAGCATGGCTGGGGATGGTTGCTGTGTGTGAAATGTTCAAGCTGAAGCTTGGGAACTGCCTTGCTGCAACTCTTCTGCGGTGCCTCTTCCCCATTTCCATGGGAACAGATGGGCTTTTGTTGGTAAGAGCTGTCATCAAACTGGGAAACTGCGGGGCACAGTTGAGCCACTCTTACTGTAAAACAGGGCTGACTGCGGGCTGAGGACATCACATGGCAGCATGGCTTCAAATGGAGGGGATAAAAATACCCTTCCTCCTTCCTCCTCTCGGGCACAGACGCCCCAGTGTGAAAGGAAGAGTCGCTCTGCCATAGACCTGGTTGGATCTATGGCAGCTGTGGGATTGGATGCAGGGGAACGCTTTAGCTTTTGACCTACCCAAAGAGAAGCAGTTCTCATCAGTTGATCTAAAACAAAGTGTTTCAGCTTTTTTGCAGATGTTGAAGGCTGTCCAGTTTGGAGCAGTGAATCTTTAGTTTAATTTTGTTACTTAATTTATTTGTCTTTTTGTTTTATACTTGGCGAATTATTCAAAGCAAAATCTAGTGATGTATGTGGTACTTAGATTAAATTTTGTAGTTTTGGTAAGTCCAGGGAAATCTTACTGCAATTCAGTTAAGAATCATTATTTTTCTTAGAGGCATAGCACTGCGTTTTAAAAATATCCAGATGATAAATTTCAATATGGCTTATTATCTGGAAGTCACTTGGAAGTATAGAATAGATGAACTTACTTTGTGCTTTTCATAAAAACGTTTTGCAGTAAAATGGTTTAATTACTTAAAGTCAGTTCTTTCATTTCAGTGGATTTATGATTTAAAATAAAGAGAGCACTGTCGATGTAAACATCAAAGACAGATACATCAATGCACAAGATTCCTATGTGTATTTTTTCCTATGTTACTTTTTAGTTACATTTCACTAAAGGATGTTAGTGGCATAATTTTTTTTGAAAGCTGAAATTTTACAGGACTGTTAGTTTTCATGATAATAGCTCCATAACTTCATAGGAACTACCAGAATTCCAGCCTTGTGCATGTGACTGCAAAGTTGTCCTGAATTTAAGGCACTTCAGTACAAGTCAGTTTTGCTTGGCTAAGCATTGGTGGCAGCTTCATGGGTGTCTGACACTGTCAGAAGAAGTGGTTTTGTAGATCTGTGTTGTGGAGATGACTCCTGCTGAAATGAATCAGGAACGTGGAGCTTTGGAAAGCAAACAGTGTGTCCTGTTCTCTCTGGAAGAGCAGAAAGGGGAACCCAGGGGTGTTTAAGGGTGAGTGTGTGTGTGTGTGTGTGTGTGTGAGCTCTCAGGTCTATAACCAGGGCATGGATCCTTGGCTGCCCGCCAGGGTGTGAATGGAGCTGTGACAGCTCGTTAAAATGATCCTAGAAAGGACAACGGGCTGGGTGTGAGGCAGGAAAAGGTCTTGGGAGCAAACACAGCCGCTCAGGGGAGAGCTGTGGAGGGCTCATTACTACAGCAGAAGTCCCCTGAACAGGTTGGATGTGCAGATATATAGGCAGTTACCTTACCCTGCCTTTAATCAGCTATTTTTTTATTCTGGTCACGAAGCTTTAATGCATCCCTCAGCACTGCTCTCTTGCTGGCGTTTGGCTTCAGGCCAGACGTTAATGAGTACCCCAAGCCCGATGTGATTTGGCTCCTCCAAATCTATTAGCATATCTTCAGAGCAAGATAAAACTCATTAAAATAATTTACATTTGGGTGTTAGAATTTCTGATAACTTTTTAATACCTACTGCCAAACCCCCAAAACTGTGGCACTGTTGTTCAGGTGAAAAGACAATTTACCCATTCTTTCTGGGAAAAGAACAGACTGCCAGATCACTTAACTGCTTTCTAATGTGATGGTCTGTAGCACATGAGCTTATCAAAGCTCATGGGAGATATATCTGATAAAGGAATGCACACCGTTGTGTAAGATTTGGTTTATTAGAAATCATATTAAAATATGCTGTGCTTGAATTGTATTCTATTGTGCAGGACTCTAGTGAAGGCAGCTTGAGGTACAGAACAGCCCCAAATTGCTGATTCTTGGAAGCTATGTGCTGAAATCTTTACATGACTGAGTTACAGATCTTCTCTTCAGCTCATGCCCTCCCAGGTCTTGGCGCAGTTCACTTTTTGATGCACCTATTTTTGATCTCTGTTGTCCTTGTTCAGTATCCCAGAACTCCTGCTGGTGTCTCTGCCTGTATTTCATGTTGAGGAATCAGTCCCTGCCCAGGTCCCAGTCCTGCAATTCCAAGGCAGTCCAGCAGACATCAGCTGATCCAGGGCAGCTCTCCATGTGGGAGCTCTTACCTCAGAGCCTGTAACAGAGCCATGCTTGAACTGCTTATGACCTGTGTTCAAATTATCCCAACTGAAAGACTGAGAATTCTGCTGTGTGCTGGAGCAGTGCTTGTACATAAATGCATGGAAGCCCAAAGTAGTAACTGCACAAAGGACAGTTTGAATGTTTCATCCACATGTAAGTACTTGGGATCTTTGAAGTGTTAAAGCCTCTTCAGCTGAAAATATCCAGAAATGGGCCTTAAAGAGGCCAAAAAATCTTTGCTCACCTGAGTTCTGTAGATGTGACCCTGCTGCTATGCTAGCTCCCCAGTGGAAGTGCTGGCACGTGGGGAATGTACATCCCATCAGCCTCTTCCCTTGGGAGTGAAGGAACATCCAGATAACTATTATTCCCTGTAATTTGCTGAGGATGCTCACATTTTGCTCTCTTTCCTTTGCCACATTTCATTTCGGTAGGTTTTGAGGTTTTTATCTGTCATACATAGCCGTCAGCAGTGAGGCAGATTTAGGGTGGTGGTGTGTCACAGTTTTGAAAGGCAGCAAGCAGTGATCTTTAGAGTTTAATTTTCTGATGCACTTCAGTCAACTGTAAGAATGAGACATGCACTTGCAAATTCTTGTCTGCTTTTACTTTCTCTTTCTTTTTTTTTTAATTTCCTTTCACCACCCTTGAAATAAAGAAACATAATGGCATAGCAAAAGAGTTTGAGGGTTTTTGGATATCTTCACCTTAACTCTGTGTGTGTAGTATGTGATATCTGGATTTGCATTTGTGTTTCTTTCTCTTTGCATTTCCTCATCTTCCTGCATTCAGGCAATGCTAATCATGTGATACTTTTGTGATCTGAGGATTTTTTTTTTTGTGTGTGTTGACAAACACAAAAGTCATCTTGAGGAGAGGTCATTTCAAACAATAGCATGGCTTTATTTACAGAACATAATACAATATTGGAGAGATTGCTTTCAGGGCAGAGTCAGTGCACCAGGCTTGGCTATTGCACCGTACCAGTTAACAGAAGTTCAATGAAAAATAAAGCAGCAAAGTTTTTAGAGCAAGTATGCTTTGAAATATCAATTTGTGCTTTTTAAAACTACCTTTTCATGTGGCTCCTCTCTTGTGACTCCTGATCTTTTGTTCACTTTTGAAATTACAGCGAGAAAAATATCCCCTTCAAAAATAAAAAGAAGGAACTTTATTCATCTACATTTGCTGTTTGAATGTGTTTAATGCAAAAACTGCTCAACACAAATGGGAAGGATTAACCAGGTACCTTCATCATTCTTGCTTGTATCTTGAATGTATCTCAAGCTTAATTTTTGTTTGCTTCTTTCCTCCAGGTTTTGAATGAAGAATGCGATCAGAATTGGTACAAGGCAGAACTCAATGGAAAAGACGGCTTCATTCCCAAGAACTACATAGAAATGAAACCCCATCCGTAAGTAGATCTTATGGGATTGGCTGTCTTGGTGTTACTCTGGGCATCCTCACAAACAGAAGGATGGTTTTCTGCTAAAATTTTACCAGCTCTACTCAAGTGTATGGACAGATAAAGGACTCCTGATGAGTTGTGTGTCTCTGGCTGTAGTGTTTGCTTTTACTCCTTTCATAGTAGCTGCATAGCAGGATGTTTTGGGAGGCTTTTCTGGTGTTTGCTCTGGTGTTTTTTATGGTCAGAACAACCTTGGAAGTTAGCAGCCATAAACCAGCAAAAAAACCTTTAGTAGAGAGTTTTTACTACCACTGCCCCAAGAAAAGAGTCTGTGTTCTTGTGATGATTCTCAGTTTTACTCACTGAGCAGCTAAGTGTAAAAATCATGGCATTCACAGCACTGCAAAAGATGAAGGGTATTTGGAGCTGAACTTGTAGCATGTCTGTCACATCCTGAGTATAGAATCACAGAATTTTAAGGTTGGACAGGACCTGTAACAGTAATCTGGTCCAACACCTTCCTCACTAAACAGGCTGACCTCAAAGTGCTGTTACACGAGTATTGTTGCCTTGAACTGCTGCTCCAAAGAGCTGTGTTTCAGTAACTACTTCAAACCTTTCCCCCCAGGTGTAATGAACCCAGCCTATGAAAACTGTAGTATTACATGACTGGGTATTTTCTTTGTGTCAGTTTATGTGTTTCTGCTGTCTTCTGCTAAATTTTGGTTCTGCCAACCTCTGAGATCCTGCAACATCTGAACAAGAACAGCAAGCTCTGGATAACAGATTCAAATGGAGGTTTAGGAGGGAGAAGCAAAACCTGTAATCAGGAGCTTTACAAGGAGCTGTAGCATTTCATTTGCTGACAAAAACTGATGATTTATATAAGTGTTGACTGTCATTATATAATGAAGATATTGCAGTTAAATGCAATCAAGAATTATTTTTCTAAGGGCCCTTTCGAAACAGCAGAAGGAAGCTTCTGAGGGCCTGGCCCCAAGAAAGAAGAAGAGGTGTCATACTTTATGGTAGCCAAGTGGGAAGTGAAGCAAGGACGCACAAGAAAATTCTGAAATTGTTTAAACCTTTGTTTTCTGTCGTAACATGTCTGGTTTACCCTGATTGTACCAGTCCACAGGGTATCACAAATCCACATTGCAATTTCATTCACATTTATTTGATGCTTGTACCTTCTCCTTAAAATTTTCCAGGCATTTGACTTATCCTACAGTGATGTCTCCTACAATGATCAGTTTATTCTATGATCTTCCATGGTGTTTTGTTTTAGAGGAATAGAGCTATCAGTTTTCCACTTGTTTTTATACCAAAAGGGAATGAACAATATTTGAGCCTTCAAGTGGGCGAATTTGGTATTGGTTTTTAAGCATAGTTAATTTGATTTTATCTGAAGATGTTTTGAACTGCTGATGGCATCTGGATGGAGGCAGTGTCATGTGTCAGCAATGCTGGGAGTCTTAGCTACTGCATTTTAACAACTCTGGGAAATTATGCAAAAGTTTTTATAGCATAATGTTGACTTAGCTGTAGTGCAGAGCTCTCTAGTCATATAGGTCATACAAAAAGCAAACTGCAGGCAGCTGAGCAGTGAGAAAGAGAATGTTCCTTTCCTCATGGTATTATCAAATTGTTTTCAAGAGGTTTTGGAAATAAAGCAACTGATTATGGCTTTAAATCCTGTCCTAAAATCCAAGATTTAAATCTTCAACTGCACAGCTGGTATTAAATGCCATGTTTCTCCTTCCTTGTATTTCGCAAATCTTACAGATCACTTTTTAACTACCAGCAAATGAAGCTAAAAGGAAAATGTGACACTTTTCAGTGACCAGACTTACCTGGGGATTAACCTGAAGGGTTAATCTGAATTACCACCTCAATTAACAAAGCAAAGACTGAGCAGAACTAGGCAGGACAGAGAAGAGCTACAGGAAGCTCTGGGCAGGGAGGTTACTTTGAAGGCACAGCAACACCTTGCGCTTGAAGAGGACAGGGGAAGACTTTGCTGTTTATGAAACACACCATGGATCTGATCCAGGCTATCTGAGGTCTTTGTGTTTGTTATCAGCTTGTCCTGGGGATATTGCTGAAGTCTCATTTTGCAGCATTGTAATTTCTGTGGAGGAACTCGGCCAAGTGAAATGATTGTGCGAAGTGAAGCCGAAGGAATTGCCAAAGTGCCGATGGAGGGGAGGCTGGAAGCGATGAGAACCTGGGCTCTACAATCCGTGCAGCTCCCTCTGGCTGTGCAGCATCAGCAGGAATGCCTGCTTTGCTTCTGCAGTGCTGGCAGGATGAGTTTCACCTGCATTACAGGGCTTGTTGGAGTCAAGCCTTATCAGGCTTGCCCTTCAGAAGAAAAGTTGTGGGAATGTCGTTGTCACTTTGCCTAGTTCTCCACAAGTGATTTCTGACATCCTGTGATATATGTTAATATTTTTAGACATTCTGTAGCAAACATATGCACAACACTTCTGCTGCTTTACAACTGTATTCTTAAGTAGACAGCAGTCCTGCAGAATAACTTTGTTTCATCTCTGGAGTTTTCATTTAATTGAGGTTCTTTTACTCTGGCTAATGTGGTAGTAAAGCTACAGAACTGCAAGGAAGCTCAAGAATTTTGAAATATTTTTAGTCTATTTGAAGTGCCTTAGAAGCAGCTAGCAGAAAACTTACGTAGTTTGGCATAGTCACTTCGTAAGTGTTACTTCATTTAAAAGAATGGTACACTTGTACTTTGTAGTGATTCAGTAAAATTTAGGGGGAAAACAGGTAAACTGTTGAGGCTTCAGGAAGGATTCTATTAAGCTCTTTCAGGTTTTCCTTCTTACATTATAGAGAAAGGTGAAGTTGTTTTTTGTTTGTGTTCAAGATGAAACTGTCACATGAGTAATTGAGAATTATTTGAGAACTAAACAGTATTAAGATACTTTGTAAACAAGAATTAGGGCAAGATACCTAAAATCATAATAAAAAGCTTACTTCAAGCAGCATTTGACAGAGAAAAAATTCAGGACTTCCCTGTCTTTCTGACAGTAGTGCCAAAAGCCCAGGAAATTAAATACTATCTTTGAATTCTGAAGGAGTGTCACTTAATAGTTTCTCTTGATTGATTTTTGTGGGCAGCAGAGTGCAGTGAGGGGCAGGTGGATCTCCCATGGTGATCTGCCACCACCTCACCTCAGGTACCAACAAGCAGCACATGTGCTAAGCCACCTAGAATGTACAAAATGCCATGAAATTCTTAACCACTGGAAATAGGATGGTTGAGGGAGGAAGCTTTTCCTTTTTATTTCAAGGGATAAAACACACCGAGAGTTTCAAGCAAGTGGAGTGTGTTTGGTAACCAAGTAATCAGTCCTTCTTCAGCTCTAGAGGTAGCTTGCCCTTAGAGAAAAAGATCTGGTGACTTCTTGACGTCACAAGAGCTCCAGCTTCTCTTAAGAATGACTGTTTCAAGGATTCTGCAACTTCTGCCTTGTTGCTGCAGCAAAGCCTTCACTGCAGACAGTGGGCTGTGTGAGTGGAGCTCTTGTTATGAAATGCTCTCCTCTAAGGTCAGTCATCTGCGTGGGTATGGGTGTGATAAGTGCTGCTGTCCTGTGTGATCTGTTCCTCAAAGCTGAAAGCTCTGCTTTTTAGTTGTGAAGATGCTTCTGCTTTCCTCATGCCATGTGACCTACCACTCATCCCTTCTTTGCCTTTAATCTTGGATTAGTCTGGAAATGCAAATGTGAATGGGGGCAAGGATCCCGTGACCAGTCTGTTGGTCAGTGCTGATGATCTGGTGGCCTGAGGTAGGTTCAGCCTTGGTGTCATGGTCAGCCTGTGGCTGGTGAGAATTTTGGATGTGGTTTGCATAAGGCTGCTACTTCATGTGACTCTCCTGTGAAAGCTCCTGGATTGTCCTGCCTGTGGGAGAAAGCGAGAAAAGAGTCTCCTGAAACAAGTGGCATCAGCATCTTTTCTGGAATGGAATCCATGCCTAGCTCAGCACTCCTCTGCAGCGGAGCAGAGAGACCTTGAAGGAACTTTTCTCACTTGGTCTGTAACTGCAGTCCTGGCACTTACCTCAGCTATCTGACAGATGATACTTGTCTCGGACCATAGGACTCTGGCAGGGCTCAGAGATTGGACTCTGGGCTGCAGGAACACACAGCTGCTGGATGAAGATACTGATTCTCTCTGCTGAAGTAGATGTGTTTTACCATCTGATCTGAAAGAGACAACAAGTTGATTTAGATACAAAATGCACTTTCCATGTGTGCAGGATGGAGCAGTGCATAGACAAGATCTTGTTTCCGGAGCTGTGGTGTTTCTGGCTCTTCCATGAATGGATTAAAATTCTTAACTTTTTCTATTGTTTTCTTTTCCTCCCCACACAGGTGGTTTTTTGGAAAGATTCCCCGAGCGAAGGCTGAAGAAATGTTGGGTAAACAGAGACACGATGGTGCCTTCCTCATCAGGGAGAGTGAGAGTGCTCCTGGGGACTTCTCCCTCTCAGTCAAGTAAGTCATGCCCAGGAGCAATTGTGTGCTAATCAGGCATCTGCTGCTCCTTTGGACTGGTGAGTAAAGGGCAGGTGATTGTCAACAGGAGCAGGAATAATCTCATCTCACAGATGCCCTATTATAGTAAAAATGCTGCAAACCCCAGATACAGGGAAGAAATTATGATATCTGGCTCCAGATCAGAAGGCTGAAGGATAACTTTATTAAAACTATAGTATATTACATTTAATATACAATTTAAAGAGATACTATACTATTCTACATACTTACTTCTTACTTACCTAACTCAAACTCGTGACTCTCTGCTGAGAGTCCGAGACACAGCTGGATCCCATTGGTCATTGAACCCAAACACCCTTCACCAGAATCCAACCCAGCAATCACTGCAGGTAAACACTCTCCACACCACATTCTACATGGGGAAAACAAAGGAGCAGAGATAAAGGTTGTTTTATCTTCTTCTCTCTGTGCTTCTCCAAGAAATCCTGAGAGACAGCATTATGCCTCTCTGTCTAGAGACTGTGAATCTTCACACCCTATAGCATTCCTATTCTTCTAGTGACATTTATTCCCTCTCTAATAGAACAAACGTCTTTGCTCTGGTTTGCAGTGAGCCCACTGGACTGACCTGGTGGCACATGGCTCACACAGGCCCAGGCACTGACTGTCTGGTGGCTTCTTTGTGGATCCCATTCCTCCCTCTTAGAGCCACAAAGCACCCAGTGTGGACAACCTCCCATCCTCCTTCATTCCTCCTCTGCAGTGCAAGTTATTACTTTATCTTCCCTCTGTGTTGTACATTTGCAAGAATGTTTTTCCTCTGCTTGGCACATGCTTTGGTAATATTCCCATTGACTAGCACTGGAAGATGGAGCTGTGTATCCAGAGGTCCATTTGAGCTCTTATGAGTATATTACATATGGGTTAGGAAGAAATTTGTCTCTGTGAGGGTGGTGAGGCCATGGCACAGGTTGCCCAAAGAAGCTGTGCCTGCCCCATCCCCGGAAATGTTAAATGCCAGGTTGGACAAGGTTTTGGAGCAGCCTGGTCTAGAAGGTATTCCTGCCCATGAGGGTTGGAATGAGGTGGTCCTTAGGTGATTCCCAACACAAGCAATTCTGTGATTATCTGATCTGAAATCACTCAAATAGAGGTATTAGAAACTTGAAAATATATGTGAAGTGATTTAATGTAGGATGGAGATGGGAAGGAATCTGTCCTCAGCAGTTGATTTTGGCTGTTTTCTTTTTTAAATTTTTTTTTCTATAATCTTCATTTTGTATCATAAATAAGCAAGATTTTCTTTATAATCATTACATTTTTATTATTCATGCACAATTCCAGCTGGCTCTGTTTTCTGTGGCTGTCAGTGATCTGTCTCAACAAGATTTTTTTTTTTTTGGTCATCTCTGGTCTGTATCCAAATTTTTGTCCTTCTGTACAGCAGTACTGAGTCATGCCAGCAAACTGGATTAAAGCCACTGATTTTAGAGATGTTTATATTTTTGTCTTGAATAGAGTCATCCGGGCTGGAATATTAGATATGAATGGAAGCTTCAGTTGCACAAAGTGCATTCCTTTAAGAAACAGAAAGTTACAATGGCATAGCTGGGCCCGCCTGTTCAGCCTGGTGTTGCCATCTGGTGGTAATGTCTCAGTTGGGTGTTTTTTACTGTTTGTATAACTTAGGAAAGTCCTTTTCCTAAACATCTGTAGAATTTGGAATGGTGAGAAGCTTACAGGTTGAGGAAGGCAAAGCAGAAGCAGCACCCAGGAGTTGTTTCAAGGCAATGTCTGCTTTCCCCACTAATGTGTTGGAGCCATGCATGCCAAGGAGGAACAGTTGTCTTCTGTTTTTAGTGTTTTAAGCTGAAGTAAAATTACCAATGTGCCATTCATCTGAAAAATCCCAGGAGACCTCTCCAGAGTTCCTCTTTATTCAGAGTAAAACTGTTGGAAGTATAGCTTCAATTGAATGCCATAATTTGTCGGAAAAAAAATTGTTAACACAGAACTGAAGTTGCTGGTTTATGTGTGCAGCATCACCTTTGAGCACTTCAGGGTTTGAGGAGTTTTTCTCCTGTTACATTTTGTTTTGGGTTTTTTTTTTAAAGACCAGAGAGGTCCTTTTGTTTCATAAGAGAGACTTTTGCACAAGTCCATTCTGGTTGCCAAAGGAGCCAATTCTGCTCTCCCTGTGGCAGTGTTTTCCCAGGAATTTGCCTGCAATGGGACTGGTGCTTATGCATTGCATTGTTGCACGTACCCAGTGGTGCTGTGGGAGGGAGGGATTGGGGCTGTGAGAAGCAGAAGGCCATGGCAAGAGTAACACAGACTGAGAGTGGCTTGAGTCAGTGGTGAAACTGCTGGGTGTGAAGAGCTAAACCAAAGTGCTTGTGCTGTTTGACTAGCAATTCTGTGTTTGGGGATGTGAAGTGGAAAGCACCAGGGTGCAGCTGTGTTGCTGTGACCGTGCAACATCCCTGGTATTTGTCCTTGGGATTCTGCACCATCTTCAGCAACACAGGTGATGGCATATGTAACATACATCAAGAAGTATGTGTGATGCCAGCTGTGGGATTGCATCTATGTTATCGATGTCACTGACAGTTTTCACTGTGCTCTGAAGGCCTTTTCATTCCAAACTCTGTGCTGATAATCCCAAAAGGAGTTCCCCATGGCTAATAATGTGCTCTTTTATGTTCTTCATTCTTTCCATACAGGTTTGGAAATGATGTACAGCACTTCAAGGTGCTTAGAGATGGGGCTGGCAAGTATTTCCTTTGGGTGGTGAAGTTCAATTCATTGAACGAGCTGGTAGATTATCACAGATCCACATCTGTCTCCAGGAACCAGCAAATATTTCTCCGGGACATTGAGCAGGTGCCACAGGTAAGAGAAGTGTCCCTGTAGAGTGCCCTGGTCAGGCTATTGCAACCACAGTCTGAAGTGGGATTGCATTTTAGAGTAAGAAAGAAGCTGACTGGTTTTTTTACCTATGGAAGTGTATCTTTAGATTTTGCAGTCAAAATTTTACTGGTAAGTAAGCTGCATTCTTGTGTAAAGCCTACCTGCACTCCTGGTCTCCCTGGAGTTGAGGCAAAGTTATTGTTGCTGCTTGAACATTTGGCTTGTTTTAATGTTTATAGATTCTGTTGCAGCAACATTCCTGTGAATTAAAAATGAACTTGCTCCTGTTGTAGGGCACAGTAAGAAAGGATAGGGAAGTGCTGGGCTAATGGTTGGACTTGGTGATCTTTGAAGGTCTTCTTTAGCCTAAAGAATTCTGTGATTCTGTTCTGATTTATACCTGATCATAGCCAGAAGTGCAGCCCTCAGTGAGGCTTTGATATTGGGCTTTCATGAAGAGGTGGTTACAGTATATGGAGCATCCCTTGTTTGGATCTAGCCAGTGTGAAGAGAATCCAAAAACTGTTGTCAAGTGCCAGCAGAGCAGCTTGTGTATATCCAATTCTTTCTTTTGTTCCATTTCCCAGATCAATCAGAGTGTTGTATTTCATGTAACTGCATGTTTTGTCAGTTCTGGGTAAATCCTTTTGCTTCCTTGTGCAGCATGCTGGTTCTAGCCTGAAGACAAGGGTGTGGAATTGGTGTAGCTGTCCAGGTGCCACAGGAAACTTTGTCACAGTTTGTCTGAACTTAACACCTGACTCTGTGCTGCCAGGTGCGGGATAAACAGAGGGTGAGAAAACAGCTGGCTGAAAAGGACAAGCATGAAGGGAACTTCCTGGCCTCATGATTTTAAGACTGCAAATGTATTTTAAATTAACTGTTAGCTTTTCCATCAGAAGGGAAGACTTGCTGACCAGGCAAAATGTTCTGTGACAGAAGAGTTAAGGAAAATGTGTAAAATGTCAACATCCAGTTTTTAGGGGGAACTATGTGTAGATCAATAATATGTGTGCTGTCAATTATGAAAACAGGACAAGTAAACAGCAGTATTATTGTATTGTTATAGAACACAGATTTACAATAGACCACAAAGAATGAAAAATACTAGAAAAACATCGGAATCATCTGCGCTATTTCAGTTCTTACACAGAAACTTGACCTTTTTCTGAGGTGTTCTATAGCCTATCTGTTACTGTTTTAGCACCTTGTTGCAACTGTTGGGAGCTGGCTTGCAGGGAAAGGGAGTAGCCCAAATGTTTATTGTTAATGTTCAGTGTAAGACATCTGCCCGCAGGAGCAGGTGCCTGGAGTGCCGTGGATGATTCTCACTGTGTGTGTTTCTTGTTCCCCTTTCAGCAACCAACATATGTTCAGGCCCTGTTTGATTTTGATCCCCAAGAGGAAGGAGAGCTGGGCTTCCATCGCGGAGACTTTATCCAAGTCCTTGACAATTCTGACCCCAACTGGTGGAAGGGAGCGTGCCGTGGACAGACGGGCATGTTCCCACGCAACTACGTGACCCCAGTGAACCGGAACATCTAGAGATAAATATTAGAGATTATTTAAGGAAACCAGAGAAACAGTAAATACACATACAGAGCCTAACTGCAGCCAGTGACGTAAAAATCACATGGCAGTAAAACCAGAGTCACCTGTCACCATGAGGTGATCCTCCTTCCCTCAGTACGGAACTTCAGGGGCGGGGGGAAGAGTTCAACTTACACACCAAAACTTATCTTAAAAAAAAAAAAAAAAAAAAAAAAAAAAAAAAAAAAAAAAAAAAAAAAAAAAAAAAAAGGAAAATAGGAGAGAGAGAGAAAAAAATGAAAATAACAAATTTCCTCAGCTGCTCCTGGGTTATCCCCTTTTATTCACTCTTGTTGCGAATGAGTGTTTTAAGGTCACTTAAAGTCTCACCACGACAACTCTTCTTGTTTCCCCCTCCTCCTCTGTCCATCAGTGCATGAAGTTTTAATGCCATATAAAGTCCTAGCCATGCAGTTAAAGGAAAAGGGAGAAACTCTGCTGGTATTTTCTCTCTCTGCAAACGGTCTTCATTTGACATGAAGGGACATGAGAGAAGAACCAAATCCACAGTCCTGCCTTTAAAAAAAAACAAAAATCATCAGTTTCTGCTTTTGCCTTCAACATTCAGCATTTCTTGCCTGGGAAAGATGAGGTGTTAATCTAATTTTTATTGTCTCTTCTCCTTTGGCACTTTCTTCTGAAGCTCAGCAGCTTCCAAACAGAGGAAGGGAGAAGAGTTGTGTGGCTTTTTGTTCTATTTTTTACTTTTGAGTCACAGAGCTGCTTTGAGAAACTCCAACGTACAACTGAAGTCTATTAATGCTGTGCTGACAGCTTTTTTGTTTTTTCTTAAAGGTGTACGGTTGAGCACATTCTGTAATTTTTTACATAGTGCCTTCCCCTTATTTTCTTTTTTATTATTTTTTAAGTTAAAAGGACAGTCCAGAGCTTTTCAGAGGATTTTTTTTCTGCCTATGTGTAAATAAATACTTTGGGGGAAGGGGGCAAAGGAGGGTGGTTTTATCAATGGACACTTGAGAAAAATCTACGAACAGAGATGGAGCTTTAATCTTCAGATTTGTCTTACTGTTCAACTTCCCTTATTCCAAGGAAAATAAAATCACGGCATTCAAGTGGCAACTTAGGCTGCTCAGAGGTGGAGAGCTGCAACCAGGAGCCTCAAAAGAAGTAAGAGAAAGGGGAAAGTTATGATGAGGGAAAATGAGGAAAAATATTTGGGGGAGGGAGGGTTAAGGGGGGAATTTGAGAAATAATAACCCTGAGATGTCCTACAAAATGTACATTCCTTTGGTGGAAAATTTCATAATGCAGAGAAACCTCAAGAAATAGTGCTTGAAAAAAACTTTACGCTCTTAGTGAATGTTTCTACGTGATGCATGTGATCAGCCTGTCTCCTCGGCCTGGATAGGCAGTATTTGCAGTCGTGTTGCTCTTGAGAAGTGGAGTTGGCATCCCTGTTCTCCAGTCTCTCCTCCCTCCTCAGGTCAGTGTTCCTGTTGAAGTAGCTCCCCGCCCGCTCCCATTCACAGCAGGCTGTGTGTGACTGTTCTCCCCACCCTGCACCCCCAGGGCATTTCTGGTGGCCCTTTGCTCCTCACCAGAGCAGTGTGACATTAAATTGGACAGAAGGAAAGCAATCAGCCCGCCGCGCTCTCTGTGCCAATCTTCAGTTGCGTTGTTTTTCCCTTGGTGGCCGTTTGGCTGGATCCCTTCACCCCACCAACACACCCCCCCCTGCAGCGGAGATCTCCTCCTGCCCTGCCTCAGCACGGGCAGTCTTTTGTTGGAGGGTGCCTTTTTTTTGTAGTGAGTGTTACAAAAGTTTTACTCCTGAGATGAACTCTGCCTTACACTTTGATTTTCCAGCAAATGAAAGAGAGAGCTACCCCATAGAGTATTACTTTTCCCCCCTCTCCTTGCTAGCTGTCACTCACTTTCTTCCCACTTTGTAAAGTGATTGGAAAAGGAATCTATGGCATTCTACACCTGGACCATTTGATTGTTTCCTTATTTTGGAATTGGTGTATATCATGCAGCCTTGCAGACATATGTCTTGTGTGTGTATATATATTAAAAAAATTTTCTGTGTTTAAATAAAAAAAAAGGCCTATGTACTTAATCCTTTAACTCTGCAGCAGCATTTGGTAGATAGTAATTAACTGTGAATAATAAATATACATTGAATTCTTCACTTGAGCATCTGTCTATTATTTCAGTTAACTGACCAAGCTGTGACTGAGCTTGTAGTTCAGACACTTCTGGAGCCTTTTGCTGGAAGGGAGAGGTGATGTTGGGCTGGTGTAAGCACAGCAGCCAGGCTCAGGCTGTTGTGGCTTTGGATCTTCTCCATCAGGGCCCTGCAGACTGTTTTCACTTCTGTTACCTGAAGAAGAACGGCTCTGTTGGGCTAACAAGGTGTGTGTGCAGCTCTCTGCAGCTTCTCCCCAGCCTTCACTCATGGTCAGAAAGTTCCTGTGAGCATGAATGTTGTAGTCAATGTTAACAGACAATAGGAAAAGGCCTACATGGGAGTTTTGAGTGGGTTTTTAAACAGTTATTATGCTGAAATACTGATGATGTCAAGGTGGAAATGCCTTGATATTCCTACAATTAGTTCTTTATTTTTCTCTCTTTTTTTGTGCCGAAGTCAGTATGGAAAATTCACGGTGTGGCTTGAAGTGCTTGGCTTTTTTTGTAATGCTGTAGCAGCACATGTTGCTCGAAGTGGTGTTTTACTGTAGGTTGCTTTAAATTACCACTTCCCCTGTGCTTTATCAAGCAAGGTTTGTTAGTTTGTGGTTGTGTAAGGTGGCGGTGGGAGCAGTGCTGAGGGCAGTGTGGGCTGTGTGCTGACCTTCCCCTCTCACAGCCCTGGCTCGTGGGACCAGAGAAGGGCAGCAGCTGGGGAAGAGTCTGGATCACGAGTGTGGTGAGGCAGGGCTGAGGGAGCTGGAGAAGGGAATGCACTGGGGTGACCTTTTTGCTCCCTACAGCGTCCTGATAAGAGGGTGCAGCCAGGTGGGAATCGGGCTCTTCTCCGAGGTAACAAGTGACAGGACATAATCTTAAGCTGCACCAGGGGAGCTGGTTGGACGTCAGGAAGAATTTATTCATGGAAAGGGTGATTCGACATTGGAACTGGCAGCCCAGGGAGCTGTCACGGCCCTGGGGGTGAGTAAGGAAAGACTGGATGTGTCACTCGGTGCCATGGTCAGGCGGACAAGGGTGGCTCGCAGCTGTCTCGGCGGTCTCGGGCGCTGTGCAGCCGCGCCGAGCGCGCTGCTGCGAGCGCCGCACGCCCTGGGCGCCATGCCCGGGACTACATGTCCCAGAGGCCCCCGCGGCGCGCAGGCGCGGTGCGGCGCGGCGGGTGAGGCGGCGCGGCGGGATCGGCCAGGGCCGGACAGCCCCGCTGCCCCCGGGCCCGGCTCGGCTCGGCTCGGCCCGGCCTCCCCGCGCTGGTGGCTGCCACGAGCGGGGCAGAGGGAGTGATGCAGAGGGGCATCTGTGTGTCCCGTGGGGTGAGAAGGGAGTTCGGGGTGCGAAGGGGCTTGGGCCTCGGCGTGAGGGGACTGTGGGGTCGGGCTCACCGCTCCTGTGCCCTGCCTAGGCTGGGAGCAGCCGGCAGGCATGGTGGGCTACGACCCCGAAAACACGTGCGTGTCCACGGTGGAAGCGGCCGCAGCAGGATCAGCGTCTGGCTTGGTCACCCGCGTCCTTGTCAGCCCCTTGGACGTGCTCAAGATCCGCTTTCAGGTACCTCACTCGCGGCCTGCCCGGGGGCAGGGATGAACGAGCCTGTCAGGGAGCAGAGCTGATCCTGTCCTGGGTGAACAGGTCACCTGTGCAGCCGGAGAGCACTGAATCTGCTCGTCAGGCCTCACCTAAGTTGTGTACAGGTTATGCAAGGAAGTAGGGCTATCTTGTGTCCGCCACTTCTATTTATACAACTTAACTTGTGTGCGAATGGAATCTTGCGTTTCTCAGAGTTCATTCTCTTTCTGTTTTTGTGAATGACTTACACTCTCTGACTGAATTTCACCATCATCTCTCCTGCTTATTTTTGTGTTCATGCACATTTTTATTCTTTTAGAGTCCTTCATAAACAACATCCCAGTCATATCTGAATGTGGTTCTATGGGAAGACAGAATGTCATCCCTTAGCATTGGCTGGCTGACAGGCTTGTGAATTCCTGAACTGGACACTTAAACCAGTGTTGAAGGATGAGACTGAAAATATTTTCTCTCCATTTCCTCCAGCTCCAGATTGAGCAGCTCTCCTCCAGAAACCCCACGGCCAAGTACCACGGCATCCTGCAAGCTGTGCAGCGCATCTTTGGGGAGGAGGGCTTGACAGCCTTCTGGAAGGGCCATGTTCCTGCTCAGTTCCTTTCCATTGGCTTCGGAGCTGTTCAGGTGAGGGCACCAGGCATCACCTGGGCAAACTGTGTGTTCCCAGGATACTGCTCTGCTCCCTCAGACCATCTGTGTTCAGGAATGGGAAGGATGTATAGCTGTATAAATCTGGTGAATAATTCCCAAGTTAATATTCCTGAGCTGACTGAATAGACTGGAGCACTGAGCTCTGTCTGTATCTAGTGTCATAGATAAGCCCTGTCTACTCCTGACATTTGGCTTACCTGTTCATGCCCCAAGCCTGGGCAGTTTTTTCCTTCTAGTCATGCTGTCACCCTAAGGGCTTGTTAGCAAAAAATCAATGAAGCTGATGAGGGTGTTTTGCACAGCACTGTATAAAACATTAGTAACTGCTTTAGGAGCAGTGGCTGAAAGGGTAAAGGAAAGCATATCTGTGATATAGCAAACAATCTTCTGGAGCCACAGAACGTTAAAATGAGTTTTTCACAACTCTAAATGCAAGAATTAGCAGAAGTGTCGAACACCAGAGTATCCCAAGCATTCCCTGGGGTGCTTGGTGATTTTTACACGTTGCAACTTTGGGAGGACTTTTGAAGGACATAGAAGGTAGTAACAAGCGGGGAGGGGTGGAGCTGTTGGTGAAATGAGAGAGGAGTGGGGAACCTGTGTGAGTCATAAGGATCGGTTTCCTGACCCGTGTGCTTTTGTTTCTGCAAGTTCATGGCGTTCGAGAGCCTGACTGAGCTGGTGCACAAGGCCACCTCCTTCAAAGCCCGCGACTCCTTCGTGCACCTGGTGTGTGGGGGCCTGGCTGCCTGCACGGCCACGGTCGCAGTCCACCCTGTGGACACGCTGCGCACCCGCTTTGCTGCCCAGGGTGAGCCAAAGGTGAGGCTTAGCACTCCATGTTGAAATATTTCACAGCTCTGAGGATGCAGGAGGTTTGAAAGCATTGTGGGTTAAAATGAAGGAGCAGGTGCTGTTACGGACAGTATTTGCACTGTTGCCAAGTTATCCTTCGTGCTGTTGGCACAGCTTTCCTAATTGAATTTTGGTGCTTCTGATCCTGACAGGTGATGCAGAAAGGAGAAACTGTCTTTAACAGGATAACTCAATTTTTTGCTTTGGCTGTTGGCGTTTTATAGAACCCGCTTCCCAGACTGTTGAACGTTGCATTTTTGAAACTAGAGTCATATTTAGATAATTATGGGGATGCTACTTGAAACTAGTCACCTTTTCACCTGTGCTTCGTGTTCTTATTTACACAAGAATTGGTCTCTGTGCTAACTAGTTGTGTAATAATGGGATAGATTTGTATCAGAGCCATTTCTGTATTTAGCCTGCAGCAGAATTACAGTATGTATTATATTAATTGTGTTGCAGGAGTTAAGAAATGTTAAAAGAGAAATAATTATGTCTGTGATGCAGGTGGTCTCAGGACTCAGCTCCATGCCTGGTTTCTGTTAAGTCACAAGGGCTTAGCAGAGGACGCTGTGAGGGTGTGGAAAATCACCTTGCTCATCACTTTGTGCTGAAGACAGTCAGTTGTATTTTGGGCAGTGGGAAATTACTGGGAAATGACCTGACCTTTGGTTTGCTGTTTTTAAGTTCACTGGAAAGTCACTCAGCCTCTTCCTTGTTGTTCAGATTTACCTCAACCTTCGCCATGCAGTGGTGACCATGTATCAGACAGAAGGACCTCGGACTTTCTACAGAGGTTTGACCCCCACACTCATTGCTATCTTCCCATATGCTGGTCTCCAGTTCTTCTTCTACAACATCCTGCAGCAGTTTTCCAAATGGGCGATTCCAGCTGAAGCAAAGAATAGAGGTAGGAACTTGGGACAGTGATGGTTGCAGTCCAGAGAGAATGAAATGAGTGCTAGTTTGGGTGACTGATGTAAGCTCTGTTAGTCCTTTCACATTTTTTGATGCAACATCTGAAAAGCGTCTCAATTTCCCACCTCTCATTTTTACCCCTGCAGGGAAAAGCCAAATTAAGTACAGCAGAGGTTACAAACAGCTCCCATTGTACAATAACCATGATGAAAGTGGGTGGATGGGAAAGTGAAGTGTCACAGGCCAGGGTGCTCTTCCTTTAACAGTGTCACTTTACTGATACTGTGGGAAGACAGTCCTGCCATAATCTTGCTGTTTCATTAGTGCTGTGGGGACTGGACTCTTGGATTTCTGTAGTTAATCTGCCTGCAGATTACAGCACAGCTCTCAGGGACGAGGATTCATTTACTCTAATTTAAAGCTGCCAGGCTCTTGATTTGATATTTTTGTGTTAATTTCTAGCTCCATTGTAAGAGAACCTCATCCTGATGCAACCTGCCACATTGGCAGTTCTAGATACCTGTGCCTTCTTGAGCAAGAGGAATGCAACAAGCAGCATGACTTTGTTCCTCAATGGAATTTCTTCACCAGATGAACAGACTTTGCACTATAAGTCTGTATATTTAATTTTAGGTGGCAGAGGCTGATGGTGGTTTTGTGCTGGGACGTCATGATTGTCAGGAAAAAGTCTAATACAGAACTCATTTCCCACAAACCTCTGAAATCATCAGGCAGTGTCAGCTTGAGATATTCCAGTCCAGAATACATCAGCCTGAGCAGTCAGGGGTGCAAGATTTCCACTGACCAGGCTTTTACTGGGGGAGGCCATGAAAACTCATCCACTGGCAGCAAGTTGTCTGGTGGCTGGGGATTGTGGTTTCTTGAGCAGAGCAAAACCATAAGTCAGTGTAACAGACCAAGAGGAGCGAGTCCTCTGATTCCAACAGGCATTGCAAGCCTGAAAAAATACAGCGTGAGATTCTTTGGCTGAAACTACTGCAGAAGAGTTGATGTAACTTCAAAGGACTTTTTTAACCTTACTTCTTGTGAAAAGTGATTTTTAACTTACCTCTTATGATCTTTAATCAGAATTCCCTGATAATCCTCTTTTTTTCCTCCTTGTTATCCTTTTCCCTTTCTGCTTCTCAGCCAACATTAAAAACCTTGTCTGTGGCAGCTGTGCTGGAGTTGTCAGCAAAAGCCTCACGTACCCTTTGGATGTGGTCAAAAAGCGACTGCAAGTGGGTGGCTTTGAGCACGCTCGGGCAGCCTTTGGGCAGGTGAGAAATGCTGGAAGTCGTGGATTTTCCTGAGTATGGGCTAGTCCAGTGCACTGGAATGCAGCAACAATCCACCAGTGGTACCTGTTGAGTTCATGTTTAGGTTGGGAGCTCCCAACGAGCACTGGTCTCATTTAATAATGTGAATTTATACATTAACGTACTGGGTTTATTTTATGATGGGTCCCAGGAGGGACCTGTCCAATATACCTTTGCTCTGGCTTGTCATCCCTCTCCAATCTGGGGATGAGTCAGGCAGGCAAAGGGCTTTTGATTTACTTTACTTTTCTAGTCACAGCTTGGTTTTTCTGATTCAGAACCAAATTACTAGCAGAGGATGACACTGGGGTCATCTGTGCTGGGTCATCTGGCTGTCAGGTTCCTCTTCTGCAATTAATATTTTGACACAAGAAATAAGCACCAAGTGTTCAACATGTGTTTTATATATGAGAATAGCCTGAAATTCAAAGCAAATTAAATACTCTGGTGTTCTTCAGCACCACTGTTACCACCTTGAAATACATTTGAAGACAGATATAGATCTTTCAAGGAACTTTCTCTTTTTTTTCCATAAAATGTGGAAATTTTCTATTTTCCTTAAAATTCCTTGCATCTGAGAAGGAAATCAGTCTGTACCCTAAGAAACTCTGGAATAGCATTTTGATGTATCAGCCCATTGCATTGGATGCTTTTCCTCTTGCAGTAAGATGCAGAATTTGCTCTTAGCATTGATGTGTCACAAGATGTTAAAACTGCACAGTGTAACATGACAACATGCGGACAGCTAATTGGGAAACTCCTGTATTTCCTAATTGGGAAACGTGCTGTAGCTGTGCTGCTTTCTGTCAGAAAACTCAACATTTTTTCCTTCTTAGACAGTGAAGGGAATAGAAAACAGCAGCTGCACAATCCGAAATAATGACTTCACAAACCTGTGCCATAAATTTAAAATCATGCTGTTGTTGCATGCAGAGGTTTTACAGCCATTCAGTGAATGATGTGGATAAGCCATTGCTGATGCTGTATATCCACATTTCCTCTATCCTGCTCTCTCTAAATTGTCTCTGAAACTTTCAGTTAGTTATTATATTATCCAGAAAGGCATCTCTGGGCTGCATGTCAAGATAATGTTTCTGTGATATAGTTTGGGGATCTTTCTGGTTTTTTCCAGTTGTCCTGAAGTTTTCTTCTTTAACCTTGTTGTCATTCCTCTCTCAGGTACGGACATATGGGGGTTTCCTGGACTGCATGAGGCAGATCATGCGAGAGGAGGGCCCAGGTGGGTTTTTCAAAGGCCTCTCTCCCAGTTTGCTGAAGGCTGCCTGCTCCTCTGGCCTCATCTTCTTTTGGTACGAGCTGTTCTGCGGCCTCCTGTGTGCCCTGAAGAGCCCTGACAACATGAAGAGGAAGGAAGGCTGAAAGGGATGTGTGTGGCTGCCTGCTGTTCTCCTCAGGAGGGGAGACTGATAGCCTTGCTCTGTCACGAGCATGTTGGAAATGTCAGAGCTCCCAGAGCTCCCCCAGCCTGTGGGGAATCACCTCCTGGGACCAAACAGAAGGAGAAGGCCACTGCAGTTCTGCTGGAGACACTGAACTGCTTGGCTGGGAGCCATTCAACAGAGCACTTTCCTTCTGTCTCCTATCAGTGCACATTTAGTGGGGAGAGGGGGAACCAACAGACCATTCCCTAGCAATGCCTGTGCTCTGGAAAAGTACCCAATAAAATGGGTGAATCCCTGAGCTCGCCCTGGATCCCAGAGAGGGGATTCTGGCCCAGCCTAGTGCTGCTTAACCAAGCAAACACCACTTCCTAGCACTGCATCTGCACAGCTTTATTCCTTTGCTCTGTGCCTGCTGTTTGCTCCAGATTCTTGTCTCGGTGTTGCACAGGTCTCTCTGTCCTGTTGGTGTGAAATCAGGTAAAGCCACATTAGTGCACAGACCCTCAGTTTTCCTTTCCGTCGCTGCTTCTTGGTCACCACTTGCTGGCTGAGCATTCTCTGTCATCTTAAACACAGCATTGTCTCTGATCATGCTGGATCAGACTTGTTTTTCCTTTAACTCCAGTGAACTTGATTGTATGCTGAATTCCCTTTTCTCTCCCTGAGTGTCTGGCCATACATCTCTTAGGGATTTGCAGTGCCTCACTTACACTTTTTACAAGCAAACCTGCATATCGAGAGCCCCACTCTGAGGGGATTCAACGCACAAACTATATTTTTACTTCAGGGTTCTTTGCTTTAAAGCAGTGAGTAAACAAATGCTGTATAGAGTTAAGAAATATTTATTCTAAGCTGGAATAATGAAAGTCCTGTGGAAACTATTAATTTTAAAAAATCATTATTTATTTAATATCACCTCTGAATGTGTATAACAAGTATTTCTGTAGTGGCCTCAAAATACTTCAGAACCTGAGTCCTGCACTGGTGCTAGCAGATGAAAATGTTTTGACAAGATTTGCTGAAGTGAAAGGAATGAACATCAAATGGGAATTGGCTGGCTGAGTTGCTGTTTCACATGGATGATTGAATTAGAGATGGAAAACTGTTTTTCTGGAGTTTCAAAGGTTTTACAAGTGGGTAAAAAAACCAATAAAACAACCTACCAACAACTCTTGATTTACGTAAGAGTAGAAAAGAGGAAAATTACTTTCTTCCTCCTCTTTTATGCCGTGTTTTTTCAAGCCTAGCGGGGTGTGGCTGGACTGGTGTGGAAGGCAGAGTTCCCAGCCCTGCCATACAAAAGCATGTTAGTCATCTGCAAGGGGTGGATAAGGCAGAGCACTGCAGTTATTTGGAGGATGGTTTGATGGTTTTTAAACACAGAGCTTTCCCCAGCTCTTTTGCAGTATTCAGGGTGTTAATCCCAAATGGTCTGGCCAGATTCCAGCGTGACCAATTCCATTCCATTGACGCAACTTCTCCTGGCAATTTTGAGCATATCAGCATTGCTCACTTACCCTGAGCTATTGTGAGAGGCTGTTTTTAACAAACAGCTGCTTCTCTGGTGGCTGAAGTATCTGGAGAAATTCCTTGCAAGCCCAGGCTAAATAACTTTATGTCTGCTATGAGTTTGAGACCTTGGAGTACAAAGTGGCCTGCAGGTGACTGAGCTGTGTAAAATAAAGTTCATTGAGCAGTGTCAGTGTCAGGCAGGAGGTCAATATGTGAGTTTTTTAAAGAGGAAGAGAGAGCTGCATATAGTCTTAAGAATGGCCCTTTTGTTTAGAGCAGAAAATGCAGGAAATATGGAGTTTCTCCTAGTGCCTCAATCCTATTGTCATTTTCCTGTGTTATTTAGGTTCTTCTGAGATTCCTCAATCTTCTTAACAATGTTTAGCCTTTGTTTATTGTTCACTTGTTGTTCTTGGAAAGACATCATAAGGAGTAATGAACTCAGCCTCATGACATCCTTCTGAGGGAGAGAAGTGTCTCTTTTCAAAACAGACATAAATAGGTTGGCTTTGTTACTGTCTTTTGTTGCTGGTGAGAGGAATGCCGTCATGGTTAGCAGGGGCAGGCCAGAGCAGAAAATATTCGGTGCTGACCTAGGCTTCCTTAGGAAATGGGGACTCATCCATCCTGTCTAAACATTGCAGGAATTGTTTTCCATTTTTTTGTCAAAGAGCTGCTGTTAAACCACACAAAAGAAGGCAAAACTGGCTGGGAACTCAGCAGCAGGAAAGAACAGGAAAACCTGTGCTCTGTTAAGATGCCATTCCTCGAGGGTGCTGTGGAGTTTAGGGTGATGCTGGTGTGGGCAGCATTGGAGCATATGGAGCAGGTTTTCCTCTCTGGGGTTGTTTTTTCCTTCACTCTGCATTAACTGAGCTTGCCTCCACCCAACAGATGGCAAAGCCAGAGTTTAAGTTGTGCCTGTCTGGCCCAGGCTGTGGAAGAGACACTTGTCACTGTTGAGGCAGGGATGGGAATAATGAGACTCCATCTTCAGAATGGAAGAGAATGAGCTTTATTAACAAGTAGTGTTCCTCTTGTATAACCAGGATCGCTAAGGTGAAACATGGTCGGTCTCAAAGTGAAAACAGCACACGGTGGTAGAACATATCCAGAAACAACATGAACAGAAAGAGAGATAATAATTGTTTACATTCCTCCCAGACTTTTTTCCAGGCTTAGCCTGGCAGAAATCTTTCTCTTTTTCTCTCTGACTGAACTGAGAATATCCATAGACACTCCCTGGTCAGACGCTTTAGGCTGTGAGTCACAAATGTTATAGGCCCATAAAGGCATCTGGGCTTCCAGTGAGAAGGAGAAAGATGTGACAACCTCAACAATATTAGGAGCTGCATCCAACAATCACTTCTTCATCTCTGATCAGCAGCACCTGTCCCTCATAGATTTCTCATGTGCACTGCTGGGGAAAGCACTGTAAGAGGAGTGTTGATTTCTCTGGGGGATTGAAGCTGAATGAAGCATCAGGAGGAAAGGTCTTATTTCTCAAGTTGCTCTGGTAAAACACATGCTGTTAGGACCTAAATCTCTTAGAATTAGAGGAGCAGGGAATGGAAGAGATGTGTGGACACCTTGTTCTCCCAGGTGCTGGGACAGATATACTCTTGGAAGCTGTGCACTCCCGTTCAGTGTGAAGTGACTCAACATGGCAAATGCCTCCCTGTGAGACTTGGCTGATTTGGCCATTGGGATTTCTTTCCAAGCTAATCCTATCATCGGGGATTTGCCTACAGTTCACCTCACAAGCTGCTCAGCAGTTTGTTTTCTGCTAGTGCCTTTTACCATGAGAATGTCCAAAAGCTCCTTAGCAGGCAGAGGGTTGGTGAGGAGTTGTGCCCCAGTTGTTTACAGCTCCACCATAGCACTGAGCCAGCCTCAGATGCAAAAAATCTGCAAGGAACATGCTGATTCCTGCAATGCTGGCTGGCTCACCAAGTTCCTAGGACAGTCCCACTATCAGGATACTCATCCAGAGCTGCACGGCATCCTTTCTGACAATAAATGAATACTTATTCATTTATTATGTTCCAGTTGGGACTGGAATAGATAGTATTTAATTCAGATTTAAGTTTCTCTTGTGATGTAGAAACTGTAACTGTGGCACTTCGCTGTGTTGCCTGAGTGGACAAGGTACATTAAATATTTTAATTTAATTTAAATATTTTCTTATACAGTGGCTCGCTGCAGTTGATTTATTCCTTTCCTCTTCATGCCTGTGCTGGACCCCGCAGGAACATCGTGGCCCTCCTGCTGCCTGAAAAGAAGGATAATCAGGGCCCAGAGCATAGGGCAACAGGAGCTATTTGGACTTTCCATCGCTGGCTTGTGGGTGCCCCTCAGCCGTAGGCAGAACTGTACCGTCTCTGTTGGGTGTTGCTGTTGAGAACTGCACCAAAAGGGATCAGCCAAGAGGGATGTTTGCAGCCCAGTCCTACTGCTGTGTCCTAGAGGGGCTTTTGGAGCTGTCATAGTCAGTCCTGAGCCTCACACCCCCGGTGGTTGAGTTCAGGTTTTCTTTGTATCCAGCCAGGCCATGTAGTGCTACAGAAAATGTTCCCAAACTGTTCGTTCTGTGCTCCCTCAGCCAGACCCTGGTTTCAGCAGCCTGCCTGCTCTGCGGTGAAGGCTTCACCCCCTGCGGGGTCTTCCCTTATGAAATGGCTGAGATTTGAGAGAAAAAACGTGAAATGTGTTATATACCATACTCAGCTGTTGTTGCAGTGCGTTGGTTTAGTGCCTCTCCTCTTTCCTGACCTTTTTTCTACTCATTTTTTATACCATTCGGCTGCAGTATGCCCTGACTCGGAGGGAAGGGCGGAATTCACGCCGTTGTCACCCGTAGAGCGCCGGGACAGCCC